CAGTGAGTGTGTGCAGCTGTGTTCTGAGAAACCCAGTGAAGCCCTGGTCTCCGGGAAGTTGCCCCGACAGACTCGAAGGTCACAGATTTCCCTGCGCTGTGGAATCTGGGTGTGTAGGCCGCCACCCTCTGCTTATTCCACCCACTTCAGGACTTGGCCCAAACCCTTCTACACAATAAACAAGGTACGAGAGAAGGCTTCCTGGGCGCAGGGCAGAGAAGGACACATCTGAAGGAGTCTACAATGACATCCTAGCTTCAGACTCATTGTTCACAGGCAGCCCTCTGGGGCCTTCGAAAGCTCCATGACAGAGAGAGGGTGTGAGGAGCTGGAGTGGGGTTCCTTGCATACTTTCAGTCAGCGACAATGCCCATTTCCCCTTGGCCTTGCTGAGAGGTGAGTTGAGTCACAGCAGACTCTGTCAGGTTAACAGACAGGAAGAGGAAGCATGCGTGAGGGCTGCTGGGAGAGATGGATAGGTATATGCTGTGGAGGGCAGAGGAGTCCATGCCAGGGAGTTATTTTCCGGTCCCTTGTCTTCCACCCCAGCTCCTTGGCCTCTTCCTCGCTCCATTCCTATCCACGGCCCTTCCTGTCTGGAGAGAAAGGTCTCATACCCTCCCCAGAGACAGTGTGGGATGGTAGATCCCGGAAATGGCAGAGCTTGCCACTCCGTCTGGCGTCTATGACAGGTCTTGAACACTGTGGGAACAGAGCCACGGGGACTGTTCCTGAAGCGAGGCCCCTCAACATTGCTCCGGGTGCTGGGTCCTGGGCCATGGAACATCTTTGTCTGCAAGCCAGGGTGTCCAGAATCCCCAGCCAGCGACACCCCTGCCCAGGCTGATTTCTGCTCTCCGTCAGGCATGCTGTCATCCCTTCATCCTGCTGAGCACACGCCCAGCTCAGTGTGGGGCTCAGCTGGGGCCCTGGGAGCTCGCTGCCCAGCAACTTCAGCCTGCAGGATATATTTACTTAAAAAAAAAAAAAAAAAAAGAACCGCCTAACATTTTGGTTTCTCACCCAGGGGCTGGAGTCTGGTGGCTGTTCCCTACACTCTGGCCCTCACAGTTTTTTATAGAGACACCCCAGCACGCGCGCACACACCACACACACACACACACACACACACACACACACACACGCCAAGAGAGACACGCAGGAATCCACACTCACAAAGAGACTAGTTCATATCCACACACGAACACACCATCCCACAGACACACACGCAAGCACCCTCAAACTCCCCTGAGCACAGAGTCTCCTACCGCATGTCCCTAACACACAGCCTCATCCACACACAGCTAATCCCCGCTCTCCCCCACCAAGGCCACAGCACACACCCAGCTGTGCACACAAACAGCAACTCGGCCAGGAGGGGAGGAAGGGGCCGCCCTCTTTCTTCTTGTTGGAAGCGAGGTTCCAAATTTCTCACTTTCCATGAGATCCAGTTTCTCACCCTTCCCCCATTAGAAAAAAAAAAAAAAAAGGATCCTTTCGGGCCTCATCTTTTCTTGGGGTCCTGCCCAGATAGTGCTGTGACTTTAAGAAAGTTGGAGAGAGAGAGAGAGAGAGAGAGAGAGAGAGAGAGAGAGAGAGAGAGAGAGAGAACATGAACAACCCAAAATTTGGCCCCTTTCCCCTTCAGTTTCTGGTGTCATTTATAAAGCAGGGTCCCTGTGGCCGAAGCTCATTTTCGTTTTGTTGAAAGGCGTCGAGGCTGCACAGATCCTTCCCTGCAGCCCCTGCTCAGGACTGTCCTGGGCACCCTGGTCAGCAGCCAGCCCCCTGCTCCAGCATCCTGGTCCTGCCTGGCAGTCCTAGTCCTTCTGTGCTTTGGTTCTACCCGTCTTAAGAGAGGCTCAGCTTGACTTTGGAAGAGCAGTGTGGAGGTAGGTCAGGGAAGAGGGAGTCCCCACAGCTGGGGGTGAGGGAGTTGGGGGTGGAGGTCTGCTAGGCTCTGGCTGGTTTGTTCTTCCATCCCTGTGAGTTTGACGGACTTGGAACAGGCCCTTTCTCAGAGCCATCCAGAGAGCATCTGCTCGGACAATCTCAACTCCAGAACTCGCAGCTGCATTGGGGATGAGCCTCTGGCCCCCTGCCTTAGTTGAGAGGTCCTGGTTGGTTTATTTAGGCAGCTGCCTGGGGTAGTTGGAACGGAACGGAACGGAACGGGGCCCCGGAGTGGGAGGGGTGGAGGGTGTGTGTGCGTTGCACAAGGGGCCTTGTCTGGACTAGAGAAGCAAAACATACACCTATGGGGGGCTCCAGTGGGAGGGACTGTAGCCAGGATGTGGGAGGGCAGAAGGGAGGTTCTGTGGAGTGCTGGGGGGAGGGGGGGGTGGCTGGAAAACAGATTGCAAGTCATAAAGACAGCTAGCAACAGGCCGAGGCAGAAAGAGCTCTGTGCAGAGGAAAAGCTGGGGTGGCCTTCCAGCCTGTCTTCACCTTGTCTGCCTACACGACCTTGGCAAGTCCAAGCCCTCTTATGGGCCTCAGTTTCTTCTCCTAGGGAGTGAGGGTGGTGGGTTAGGTGGTAGTGTCTGGCTGGATTATGCAGGGCCTTCTAATGGTTGGGGTCTGAGGAGGGATAAGTCCTTTCTGTGAATCCTTAAGCTCACCTGGGTCCTTCCTTGCAGGAGGTACCATGCGGGCACTGTGCCTGCTTTGCTGGGCTGTTCTCCTGAACCTGGTGCAAGCTTGTCCGGAGTCCTGTGACTGTGGGGAGAAGTATGGTTTCCAGATTGCAGACTGTGCCTATCGTGACCTACAGGCTGTACCACCAGGCTTCCCAGCCAATGTGACCACACTGAGCCTGTCAGCCAACAGGCTGCCACGCCTGCCCAAGGGGGCTTTCAGGGAGGTCCCCCTACTGCAGTCGCTGTGGCTTGCACACAATGAGATCCGCTCGGTGGCTGCTGGCGCCCTGGCCCCCCTGGGCCAGCTCAAGAGCCTGGACCTCAGCCACAACCTCATCTCTGAGTTTGCCTGGAGCGACCTACACAACCTCAGCGCTCTGCAGCTGCTCAAGATGGACAGCAATGAGCTGGCCTTCATCCCTCGGGATGCCTTCCTCAGCCTCCATGCGCTCCGTTCTCTGCAGCTCAATCACAACCGCCTGCACACGCTGGCCGAGGGCACCTTCGCCCCACTCACCGCGCTGTCCCACTTGCAGATCAACGACAACCCTTTTGACTGCACCTGTGGCCTCGTGTGGTTCAAGACCTGGGCCCTGGCCACCGCGATGTCCATTCCAGAGCAGGACAACGTTGCCTGTACTTCACCACAGGTGCTGAAGGGCACCCCACTGAGCCGCCTGCCACCGCTTCCCTGCTCCGCACCCTCAGTGCAGCTAAGCTACCAGCCCAGCCAGGATGGAGCGGAGCTGCGGCCCGGCTTTGTGCTGGCACTCCACTGTGACGTGGATGGACAGCCGGCCCCCCAGCTTCACTGGCATATCCACACCCATGGTGGCACGGTGGAGATCGTCAGTCCTAATGTCGGCACTAGCGGACGTGCCCTACCTGGTACCCTTATGACCAATGGGCGGCCACGCTTCCAGGCCTTTGCCAATGGCAGTCTGCTTATCCCTGACTTCGGCAAGCGGGAGGAGGGCACCTATACCTGTCTGGCCACCAATGAGCTGGGCAGTGCCGAGAGCTCTGTGAACGTGGCCTTGGCCACTCCAGGTGAGGGAGGAGAGGATGCCCTGGGGCGCAGGTTCCATAGCAAAGCCGCGGAGGGCAAGGGCTGCTACACGGTTGACAACGAGGTCCAGCCCTCTGGCCCCGAGGACAACGTGGTTATCATTTACCTCAGCCGTGCCGGGGCCCCAGAGGCTGCAATCGCGGCAGAAGGGAAGCCTGTGCAGCAACTCTCGGGGCTGCTTCTGCTAGGCCAAAGCTTGCTCGTCCTCTTCCTTGCCTGCTTCTAACCACACCCTGCCCCGGCTGGCTGGAGCAGCCCCAGGGCCTTCCTGACTCCTCCTGACCCTGCCAATGTTCCCTCTGAGTACCGTGAGGCCTGGAGTTGGTGAGGCCGGGGCTTGGCCTGGGGACTTCACGTTTTCCTACCTCCCTTTCTGAGCTCTCCCGGGCCCCTCGTTATTCCGACTTGTCGATTTGCTCAGAGCTAGCCACTAGGATTAGAACTGTATTGCAGAACTCGTCATCTCTGGTACTAATGGCTGCTAACAGCATTGCCCATGCTCCTACCTGGGGCAGCATGCTAACAGGGCAACAATAATGCCCTTACCCTGGCCCACTTTGAGAGTTCTTGGCACTGAGGTAAGGAGCTTGGGGAGGCCACCCAGGTGGGCACCGGGGCTGGTCCGGAAAGGAGCCTGGAGGGGCCAGTACAGGATCTGGAAAGGAAGTACTACAGGCAAGGACTGGGAAGGCTAAGCGCTCTCCCTGTCTCCCTAATGCCTCTGATGAAATGTGGAAATTGTCCCTGGCTGGGCCTCTCTGTCCTCTCATCCCACAGCCCACGGCCTGTGCCTGCCTCTCGAGACACTTGCCCCTCCTTTGTTTCCAAGTATGTAGGCTGCCCCTCCAAAGAGGCTAGCCAGTTTGGGGTAGCAGAAAAAAAAAAATAAACAGCATTTCTGATGCTCCCCTTTGTCTGCCGGGAATTCTGTTGGGATCAAAGAGTCCTTATGAGAGGATGGGATGGCCACATGTGAGAGCTGTGCCGGCACGAGACAGGGACCCATTGGACATAAGTGCAGAGTGTTTCCAGTAGCATGGGAGGGGAGCCCAGACCCATCACTGGGTCCTAATATGAGCCAAACTGTAGATTTTCCGTCTCCAAACTAGCTCACGGGATGGAATGTGAGCATCGCTTTCTGCATTTTGGAAAGGGGTGAGGTGAAAAGCCTGCATTGAAGACCCAAGAAGAGTCTGAGCAAGAGAGAGGAATAGAGTTGGGGACATTTGGGGCAAGAGCAAGGAACGAGGCTGAAGGATGGGGGAAGTAGGGGACAGAGGATGAGGACGAAACCGAAGTCAGCCTGGAGGAAGGGGTCAGGGAATAACGGTACACCCCAGCTTTCCCTCCAGGAAGAGGACATGGCCCCAGAAGGGATGCTCCAGCAGAGTAGAAACCTCTGACCCTTGTAAGGGTGGACTGGGAGATGGGGGCCAGCCACAGTGTGAGGTCTATACAGGCCTGCCAGTGGAGACGCTGCAGAACTGCAGGCCTGCACTGGGTCAGAGGTGTCTCCCTACTCCCTGCCTTTAAAGGTTGGATGTGTGCACACAGGGACAGTGACCTTCAGGGGAAGGCCTGCCCCTCTTTCCAGCCCCAGGACTGCTGGACTCAGCAGAATGAAGGCAGGAGGTTGAGGAGTCTGGAGGAGCAGCTGTGAGCTTGGCAGCTGGCCAGCCCCTCCCCCACACTGGGGTCCACATGTGAGGCCTCCTTTCTCCCTCATCTTTCTCCGACTTGTGGCTCATGTTGAGTCCTTGTTTGCCATCAGCCAGTCACATCATCAAGAGTGTCCTCACGCCTGAGGGAAAGCACCAGGATGGAGCCATATCCTAGATGCTGTGTTCCTTTGGGTAAGTTACTGCCCATCTCTGGGTTTCAAGTGTGTTAGGAATCAAACGGCAGAGGGCTGGGAATGCAGCTGAGTTGGCCGAGTGCATGCCTGGCATGCATGAGGCGCTGAAGTAGTGGTGCATGCCTGCCATCTGGACACTCAGGAGGTGGGCACTCAGGAAACAAAGTCAGGAAGTCCAGACTCTTACACTACATAGCAAATTTGAGGCCAGCCCAGGCTACATGAGATCCTATCTCCTGAAAAAACACCAAGAAAAGGTAGTGCCTAAAGGTCCATCCGGCTGATCTAGACTTGACAGTTCCGACTTAGAGCCCAGCATCCCCCTGCTCCACTCGCCCCTAAGGAGGCTGGGCATCCTGAAGGTCCATCTAGCACCTTTCACTTACCACTTGAGGCAGAGCAACGTGGGAACTATTGTGTCCAAGTGAACTAGCTACTCCTCTGCTTTGGTCTTTTGTGGCTTCCACTGTCCTCAGTGTTTAGCATGAATTCCCAGCCATGGACCCTCTGACTAGCTGTTCCTGTGTGGACCACCTCATCTTTGTCTTCTTACGATGCCTGTGAAGAAGCTGGGCCACCTTCATCTTTACGTAGCCTAAGCCCACCTCTCCCGAGTATACCCTTTTCCTGATCTTCATCTGGCTGAATCAGTTTTCTACATCACCCCCTCCAAGCTGTTTCCTTGGACCTTCCCCCATCTTCAGTGTGAAGAAGGCCCCTTCCTTTGAGCCCTTGTCTGTGACCCAGCCAGATTATAATCTCTTGTGACTGTCTCCTTGTTAAGGGCAGAGGCAGAATCGGAGTTTTCCTCCTGTGACTGTGTGGGTTATTGACACCCCACATAAAGACATTTTGCAGTAGGCTGAGGGGGTCTTAGAGCATGCTTTCTTTGGCCCCCTGGGCAGCCCAGATCATGGGTTTGGAGGGCCAGGAGGTACCTCTGGTGTGACCCGTGTATGTGTTTGATCTATAGTTGGGAATAAACGGGCATGATTTTGAGGTTCCCTGACCCAAACAGGGTGGGGAGGCATGGTGAACCACATCTAGAGCATCTCTCTGATTCATACATCCTCCATCTCCTCCAAGACCCCAATGTGTCTGCCTTTCCGCTGTCCCTCTGCATCCTTGGTCCCCTGCCTGCTCTTCCTCCGCTCTGGATGATACCTCTCTCCCTTCTGTGTCTTTCTTCATCCCTTAGAGTCTCTACCATCCTGCAGCCTCTTCTCCCCTTTCTTTAAATTGGGAGAGTTCCTGCCCATTCTTTAAAACCTGGAAGTCCAGCATCTGCACTGCCCAGGAATGGCCCTTGTAGGGTCCCCAGCCATCATCACACAAAACTGGGGCTTCTCTCTATCCTCACCCAGTGTCCATCCCAGCACCCCAAGTGCCCCCCTACTTCCCCAAATCAAGCTCAGATTAGATTTACTGACAGTGTAGTGGTTCCCCCGAGAGCCCTCCCCTGTGAGGAGGAATGTTCCTCGGGGGCACATTTATTACCGGGAGTACACTAACTTCTTTCATGACAACTAACGGCATTAAAACTACAAAAATATGTAGCTCTTGGAATGGGCAGCTCAGTGGGGCCTCTTGGAGTCTGACTTGGCTGCGTAGGAAAGGGTGGTAGGGAGAGAGGAAGGAGAAAGCTGGGCCAGAGAGGAAGCCCACACAGGCTCCACCTTCATGGTGGGAGGGCTGGGACTGAGGTGGGGATACCCAGACCTTTCATCACCAGCGGGGAGCCAGAGGGCCCTCACTGAGGCCTGGCAGGCTGACGGCAGAGCCAGTGTGGGGAGGAGAGGCCTAAACGTGGCCACCCCTGCTCTGCCAGTTCCAAGACCGGGGCCCACCAGCTGTTTTCTCTAGAGCCCTAGCTGGGAGCCTGGTGGACAAGCACAGACCAAAGTCCTCTTGAGGCTGGTGGTGTAGACACCGCGACTCCAGTCCCCTGATCCCACAGGGATCTGCTGGCTGGCAGAGCTGCGGCTGGGGGAGGGGAAGTGCTGACATGGGAGGGTGGTAGACGGGAATGCGCGTCGGCAGGCACGTAAGAGCAGCGTGGTGTGGTTTTCCTCACCCTCAGGGCTGGGTGCCATTGGCCTTGGCACCACTCAGGGCTGCCTTCCGCAAGGCCTGCAGGCTTGGGTTGTGTAGCAGCGTATAGGCCAGGCCCCAGCGGGCCCTGCTCCGGCTGCCTTTGGGTCCTGTTCCCTTGGCCATCAGGTCCTTGGTCTGTAACAATTGCATTCCTGAGAGAGAGAGAGAGAGAGAGAGAGAGAGAGAGAGAGAGAGAGAGAGAGAGAGCGCTTCGGTGAGTCCCAGCCAAGCCTCCACAGGCCCCAGACCTGAGAGGGGTTTGAAACCTCCAGGCCCAGCCAGAGTTCTAGCTGCCAGCTAGGGAATGGCAGAAGGCTGGGCTGCAGAAGCCTGCCACCCTGCTGCTGGAAGAGGAGGGAGGGAATGAGGTCTGGGAGGAACTACAAGGGTCAGGCTAGCAGCAGGAGGTGGGGGTTGAGGGAGTGAGGGCAGGCCTAATGTCCCCTGCCCTAGACCTCCTGGGCAGAGAAGGAGGTGGTGTTCTCCAGGAGGGGAGTACCAGGACATGTATTCTATTTTCTGTGCTCACATAAGGTACATGTGTGTGCAAGTCCATAGTAAAGAAAAAATTACCCTGAGACCCAGTCAGGAGGGTGACAGCAGAAAGGACAGAAGAGGGGTGATTTCCTGCTGCTCTCTGTTTTGGAGAGGTCTCCTGTGACTCCTTCCCGAGAAACTGGGAGTCTACATCCCCAGCCCAGGTGAAGAAGTACCTTCTTCTTCCTCTGCTGGTCTGACGCTGTCCTGAGGGGCCAGAGGGGGCCGGGGCTGAGGACTCGGCGCGTGAAGGAGCAGGGTGCAGAAGGCTATGACTGCTGGATGGGACTGACTGGCCTCAACCCTCAGGAAGTTTCGGTATGTGTGATAGCCTAGGATAGGTTGGGGACAGAATGCTGAGGCATGAGGAGCCCATGGCAGATTAGAGGTACCCTGAAACAGCAAGAGGCATCTAGGGCATCCAACCAAGCATGTCACACACACACACACTGCACACAGGCACTGGCACCCTTGTTAGCATACACCACACCCACCCTGCCGCACAAGCTTGTCCTGCACCAAGGAGCTCTGGCGTTTCTCTGCACACACACTGCACACACCTGTGGAGCCCTGGCAGTGCACACACACAGCCTTACACCACAGGGCCTTGGCAATGCCCACATACCTGCTGCATGTGAGTGCAGAAGCTTACATGCACAGATCCGCTTAGAGCTCAAGGTGGGGCAGCTCCTTGGACAGCTCAGCTCCCGCGCCCCCCCCTCCCCCCTCCCCCCATCCCTGCCTAGTGACCTTACCTGGATCCAGGGATGCCGCTCTGGGTGGCAGCAGGCTGAGGTCCATCTGGCCGAGGTGAACAGTGTTGTAGAGGGTAGAAAGAAGCACCCGCCAGAGGGCCACCATAGCTCCCACCAGCGTGTTGATCGGGAAGAGAAGGAAAGTGGCCACGCAGAGCATGCGCCTGAGGGTAGGGAGGGGAAAGGCTCAGGCAGGCCTCGCCCGGAGTCCTGTGCCAGGCCAGGGTCACAGCTCCATGCCCACAGGCACTGTTGTTACCCAGCGACTGACATTTATTGGGTGGGCTTTTGTACCTCCCAGGGAAACCAAAGTTTACTAACAGGTGTCTTCCTCTATCACTCTTCTACCTCGTTTTTTTGAGGCAGGCTCTCTTGCTCAACATGGAGCCCACTGATTCGGCAAGACTAAGTTGGCCGGCAAGCCTCAAGGATCCTGCAGGCGTGTGCCACCGTTCTGTGGGCGTGGAGGGCCAGCTGAACTCAGGTCCTTATGCTGGCACAGCAAGTGCTTTACCAAATGAGCCGTCCCCTCAGCCCTCCACCTGTATCTGTGTGACCCTGGTGTTCCCACCTTCTTCCTCCTCTGTCCTATCCCCCCACCCACACACTCCAGCTCCTCTTCGGAGCCGAGATTTTCCCATACCCTTGCTCCAAGGTGAGGAGGAGTCTGTGGGGAAGAGAGCACCAGTGATTCTCAAAGCAAGAAAGGCTCCTGGCAGAGCTGGGCAAACAGCTCAGTGGCAGAGTGTGGGTCTACCGTGCCCTAGGCCTGGGGTTTGCAAGGCTGTGGGCTCTTATCACCCCCAAAATCTCCTGGGAGGAGGTTGGCTCTGTGACAGACATCAAAGAGGCATTTTAGAAGGCAAAAATCTACAGAAAGAAGCGTCTGGGACCTGAGGGAACCACAAACTCAGGGGCCGTCTTACTGGTTGGTCAGCTCTGGGGAACCATGGTGAGTCTCCAGGAAGACCCAGCGGGCTGCGATGTTCTGCAGGATTACAGCCAAGGCCAAAGTCAGCCAGAAGGGCCTGTATGTAGGTAGGGTGAGGAAAGGGGTGTCATTCAAGGGCCCTTTGGAAAGTCCCAGAGCCCCTGGTCTTTGCCTCACTCACCATGTGGATTCCAGGGATCGGAGGAGCAAGAGGTTCCTGCCATGGAGCATAGGCATGAGCACCAGGAAGGCCAGGATGGTGGTCCCCAAGAAGAAGATGACCTGCTGCACCAGGAGCCCTGTAGGGGGCAGAAGGGACAAGGGGACAGACAGGAGGTTCTGTGGGAGCCAACTTACCCTGCACTTTAGCAGGCTTCTGTGGCCACTTCCATTCCATGTCACTGCCTGAGCCTTGGATTCTTCTGTAAAATAGGGATGCTAGTCCCTGCCTTGGAGAGCTGTTGTAAGACTCCAGTAGCCTCAGAATCCATGGTATTGCCCTCAACTTGATCCTGAGTTTTGGGACACCAATTACCTTTTAAATGAGCATGTGCATGCTGTGAGTTAGAGCTTAGTACCTGTGGGTGCTTAGTGTGCCTATGGAAGTTCTACAGCCACCTGGGATGGTGTATACAGATGGGCTGGGGAGGTCTAAGGTTGACCAAGATGAAAATACAACTATTTTTCCTATCCTACATCACCTTCCCTCCTGCCCTGGGTGAGAATGGGAGATCTCAAGGCCAGGTCTAGCCTTTGGACTTGCAGGAGAGGCCAAGTCCCTCATAGTTTAAGTGTGTTGTGCATCGTGGTGTCTAAGGGGAGAACTTGAGACACGGTCTAGAAAAGTCCTTGAGGGCCATCTGACTAGACTCTCCCAGGTAGCACTGCTGAGCAGCCCTCACATGTCCATGGAACCTTGCTTGCATCCCCAGGAACGAAGAACTCTTCACCCCCAGGCAGTGCATTATGGCCAGCCTTCCCTTGCAGAAGCAGCTGTGCACCATCTTGAATGTGCCACATCCAGACCCAGATCCATCTTGCCCATAATTACCCAGGTGCACCTTCATGTGAAGGGCTCCCTTTCTGGGGGGACTCTTACATCACCAATCCAGATGTTCTTGTCCTGCCCAGCCCAGGAAAACCCTTGCCAAGTACCCACCCTTCCCAGCGGGGCCCCAGCTCTAGGAACATGGTGAAGGGGGCTCACCAAGGCAGCTGAAGGCTGTCTGATAGGCACTGAAACTCATCCAGCAGACTATGGCTTGGCGAGAGGGATGGGTACTCTGAAGCGGGTTACCCGGGTCCAGGGCAGCCCCTCGGTGCAGTGCTTGAAGATTGGCCCTGGGTTGAAAACAGTGACCTCAGGGAACAACATAGTACCTCTAAATGATAACCAGGGCGAGCATCTGGCCATCAGCAGGGAACCTTAGGGCTGCAGGAGCCTGGAGGTTAACAGTCTGGGCACGGTCTCCCGAAGGAGGTAAGGTCTGTGTAGTCTTAGGAGACCCCAGACGGAGGCGCAACCTGAACCATCACTGGGAATGATGGAATTAGAGCCCAGCTGGGCCTCCAGGGAGAAAGGCAAGGCAGAGAGCCTCGGATGCCAGGGCAAGTAGGGCCAGCTCTGTGGTAGGAACGCTGAAGCCTGCTGAGTGCCCAGCCCTCTGCATTGCTCATTTCTCAGAACAACCTCCCCAGTGCCCCCTCCACCTTCTGGGGCACCTGCTCACCCTTCGTCTTCCACTTCTCTGCTTTTACTCATGTGGTCACTCCTGCCTTTGGTACCCTTCGTCCCTCAGCCCCAGGCTCTTCCACCCTTGGAACTGGATTCTTCATTACCGGCCCTCCCAGGGCACCTTCTCACAGGCAGACTTCTCGGCAATGTACGACTCACAGATCTCAAGGACAACCATACATGCCTGGGGCACCTTCTCCTCCCACCACATACAGTCAACGGGTGGTGGTGGTGGTGGTGTTGCTCTGTGGCAAACTGGCCTACAGAGGCTTCTCCCTCCACCCTGGATTGGGATCCCTCAAGTCCCCTGCCCTACCTCTAGACTGGAGTGTCAGGGCCTGTCACTGACCTGTGAGTCCCCAGGGAACGGATCAGGAGCAGGAACGTTAATGAGCAGGACAAGACCAGAGCCGAGATGTAGCATGCTGGATGAGAGAGAGAGAGAGAGAGCCGGGGAAGACAGGGGCTAGAGGGTCTTCCACAGACTCTGACCCCTATACCTCACTCCAAGGGGAAACCACTGGGCCCCAGCTCCAGTTCTTAGGTCCAGCATGAGCTGACACCCTCTACAGCCCCATCTTGCCCAGTAATATGTGATAGCCAAGAAAGAGAAAGGGCAGCTTTGAGCCACAGACCCGGCCTTCACCTTGGTTTTGTTGCTTACGTTGTTATGACCCCTGCAATGAGAAATTCCTACCTGGCATCTGCCTGCAGCTCCCCACTTCCTGCCCATGTGGCCGGCCCTCAAGAGGGCCTTGTGACAATCACAAGCTTCACTGGTGGCCATGATGCTGTGGCCCACCTCCCAGAATGGCCCTGGCCATAAACCCATCTGCCCTTGTAGTAGTGGCTTTGATCAGAACACAGAGAGTCGTGCCATGTGCCTACCATAATGAAGGAGGTAGTGACTGTTACCTATCTTCTCTGGGTGGGGCCCTTCTTCTCAATTATCTCCCACACACCCCTGACCACACACACAGACACTGAGACAGTCAGGTCCACAGTCTCTGTAACGGTGGGTAGAGAGCTCTGAATACATGTGTAAGAATCTCCTAGATGTAGCTGGTGCGCTTTCAACCCACATGCCAGCCAGGCTCACTCTAGACCCTCACAGCAAGCCCACAGGGTCTCTCATGGGAATTGTTCAGGGAGGGCTTGACAGCTCAAACCCTGTATGCTCCCCAATCTCTGCCCTACACCACCACCATGCCCTGGGACAGCGTCAGGAGAATATGCAAAGCAGCCACACCTCCATCTACAATGTTGACAGCCTAAGCTCGAACCATTGTATGCTATTTCTCCAAAGCCAGAATGCTCATTTCGACAAGGGAACCTCCTCCAGTGGACCAATGGTACAGGTCCCGTGAGTCATGACTATCTCACTTTACGACAGGGTGGAAGGGAACCCTAACTTGGGCTGCAGGAGACCTATATTCTATCAATTGTGCCTGGTTGTACAACGTGAGGCTGACCCCTCCCCAGGTGTCTCCCACAAAGCTGCCGGGAGAGGGTAGGAGGTGGGTAGGAAGGAAACTATAAGCCATATCAGCCACGGAAGAGGCAGCTGACATTGTTCCCTGACTTGAAGCTCATCACATGGGGTGGGGTGGGGGGAGATAGTCCAGATAGACAAGGATTTGGGAAGAGAAGGCAGGTGCTCTGCCGGGTACAGTCTGTGCCAAGAGGATTACCCATAAATCCCAGCCCCCATCCCACATACGTGTCTTCTTCTCCCTTCCCACCCTGAAGTCACACAGCCATGGGCTTCTCTGTCACTACAGCTAGAGAGTTGGTCAAAGGCACTGGGGCTGGGGGAGAGGAAGATATAATAAAGGTTGATAAGGACCGAAGGCTGTAGAGATGTGGAAGCTCCAGCTAGCTGCCCCCAATTTGGGATGAGGTGTGGAGACCCAGAGCAGAAAGGGGGCATGCCCAAAGGCATCCTGTGTGTTCATGGCAGGCTATCACCAGGTCCAGTAACCTGTCCCCCGTCCCCTTATGGCCTTTAGGGACACCAGGCAAGCTCACCTTCCACAGCCCATAGGTGATGTTTCACCAGCTCTACCACCTCCTGCCGGTCCTCGGAGAGCACGATCCCAAAGCCAGCCAGCAGGTAGGAGACATCTGTGGTGATCCCTGCCCTTACCTTCTGCACAGTAGGCACTATGCTCACCAGCAGGAGCAGGGCCACCTGGAAAAGCCCCACTATGAGGTCGGGATGGGGGACCAGCTGTGTGCATATCAGCCCCTGCCACCCTAAAGAAGTGTGTCCTAGTCTACTAGAGGAGACTGTACCAGGCTGCAGCCACCTGCCCCCAACATGTCCTTCTGCCTTCATACAGAGTGTGACATGAATGTATAACTTTAGCCCAAGAGGCCGAGGACAGGCCTCCATACAGCTATCCCTAGTCATTTGCCTCCGCTTGTCTATCTACCTGAGATTCAGAATATAAACATTTCCAACTTGGGGCTGGGGTAATAGTTCAGTCAGTAAAATACCTGGTTCATTTTACTGAATTTGACTTCCCAGAACCCATATAAAAAGCTGGGCATGGTGCCTCCTGCTATAATCCCAGCACTGGGGAGTTGGAGACGGGCAGATCCCTGGTGCTTGCTAACCAGCCAGCCTAGCCTACATGGCAAGCTCCAGGTCAGTGAGAGATCCTGGCTCAGAATACAAGGTAGATGGCAACTAAGGAATGATCCTGGGAGTTGTCCTTTGGCACACACACACACACACACACACACACACACACACACACACACACCCCACAGGGGTAGGTGTGAGGAGAGATTTCAAACTTTTCCTTTTTTTTTTTTTTTTAACTGTTGTTGCTTATTTGTGTTTTGAGTCCAAGCTGGCCTCAAACTAGCTTTATACCTGGGGAAGACCTTGGACTTCTGAACCTCCTGTCTCTACCTCCTAAGGGCTGGGATTACAGGCATGTGTTTACATGATGCTAGTGATTAGCCCAGGGCTGCATATATGTAGGCAGGCACTCTACCAACTAAGCTACGGCCCTAGTCCCTGGTAGTTTATTTGTTTTTGAGAGTCATGCTAAAGGTGGTGGTGATTTATCCAACATGGCAACTCACAAAATCTTCCCAACATAGAAAAGTGGTTTTGTTTCTTCTATTTTATAGATGAGCTAAAAGGTTCAGGAAGGTGGAGAAACTTGGCCAAGGTCACCCCAGAGGTAAACAATGGAGGTACAATTGAAATCCATGTTTATGTTAACTCTGAAACTTGTGAATCGTTTCAGAGT